AAATCACTTGAGTACAAAGTTAATTTAGCCATATCCTATGAAATGTAATGATAATGTATGACGACTAACAGAAAGATCATTTAAATTGTCTATCAAACAATTTTCAAGTTGATTCTACTTTGTGATTTGGTTTAAAGAAGATGTGCTTTGGCATAATAGTAACTCGTTGTGTGCATAGATAAGCTGTTCAAGAATATTCAGCAGGTGACTCGTATAATTTGTTTTAATATTTATGTGGTTCAGATTACCAACGGGTTCATCAGTGGTATCTTCTTCTAACAAGTCAAGTTACATTATTATTTATTACCGGCATTTATAAGGCACCACCGAATTCCGCAGCGATGTCTCTTCTTCCATCAGAAATCTATGACAGGTGCTTCTTAAAATTTTTCTGTCAATTACACTTTGCATCATCATTTAGCACGAAACAACATCCTGTGTTGATCATTTCTAAGTTTATAAAACAAACTTTCTTTGTTTATTTTGGGTATTTAGCATTACCAAGCAATGTACCGCTTTCTATTATTTTATTTTATTTGTTTTCCTTTTATTTTTCAATAAATGCAAAAATATGGGAATACTGGCTTCCTTTGGTGGATGCTCCCAGCACTTTTTTATTTCAATAATTTTGTTAATATGGTGCAATTCCAAGACAGGCTCAACTAAATTATCAAGAAATAATTGTATAAGTTGGCAAATGCCTGGTTTAATTAAAATTCTGTTGAAAATGTTAGGAATAATATTTTACAATTATTGATTAACTTTTATTTCTAAATGTATTTATTTATAAAAAAAAATATCTGTGTGACAGTGCCAAATAATACTGTTAATAATATAAAAATTAAAGGGCACTGCGGACCCCTAATGCACTTTAGATTGATGAAATGCTTTATGTTGGAAGAGTACATCCTCATTCTTCTTTTTTTTTAAGTGCAGATTTCAATAAAAATTGACACTTTTAGAAATTAACCTTGTTATTCCCCCTGGATGGCAGTCTGACAGGCCATCATGTTACTTCCTGGTTAGTTTAGCTCAGTGAAGCTAAACTCTAGATGCTGGTGATTTCTTAGACCTTGCAAAGACTTTTCTTTGAGATGCATTGGGAAGTCTGTGATTGGACAGCCACAGAAAGTCTGGGCGGGTTTACACCCTGTTCCAAATTATTATGCAAATTCTATTTAAGTGTCACAAAGATTAAATATTTTGTTTTTCCGTTTAACTCATGAATGGCATTGTGTCTCAGGGCTCTTTTGATCACTGAAAACAATCTGGGACACCTGTGATAATTAGATTGCCAGGTGAGCCCAATTTAAGGAAAAACTACTAAAGGAGGGTGTTCCACATTATTAAACAGAACACCATTTTCATGCAATATGGGAAGAAAAAGGATCTCTCTGCTGCCGAAAAGAGTGAAATAGTTCAATGCCTTGGACGAGGTATGAAAACATTAGATATTTCACGGAAACTTAAGCGTGATCATCGCACTATTGAGAGATTTGTGGCTGATTCAGAGCACAGACGGGATCGTGCAGATAAAGGCACATTGAGGAAGATTTCTGTCAGATCCATGCATCGGATCAAGAGAGCAGCTGCTAAAATACCATTACATAGCAGCAAACAGATATTTGAAGCTGCTGGTGCCTCTGGAGTCCCACGGACATCAAGGTGTAGAGTTCTCCAGAATCTTGCAACTGTGCATAAACCTTCTATTCGGCCACCACTAACCAATGCTCACAAGCAGAAACGGCTGCATTGGGCAGAAAAATACATGGACTAATTTTCAAACAGTTCTGTTCACTGATGAGTGCTGTGCAATCCTGGATGGTCCAGATGGATGGAGTAAGGGATGGTTGGTGGACGGCCACCCTGTTCCAACAAGGCTGCGACGTCAGCAAGGCGGTGGTGGAGTCATGTTTTGGGCCGCAATCATGGGAAGAGAGCTGGTCGGCCCCTTTAGGGAAGACTGACCACTTTCTTCCCTGGTACAGAAGGAAGAACTGTGCTTTACCTAATAAAATCATCTCATGCTGCAAAGAATACCTCTGCATTAATGGCTGCTATGGGGATAAAAGGAGAGAAAGTCATGGTGTGGCCTCCATCCTCCCCTGACCTCATTCCTATTGAGAACCTTTGGAGCATCCCCAAGCAAAAGATCTATGAGGGTGGGAAGCAGTTTACATCCAAACAGCAGCTCTGGGAGGCAATTCTGACATCTTGCAAACAAATTCAAGCAGAAACTGTCCAAAACTCACAAGTTCAATGGATGCAAGACTTGTGAAGTTGCTATCAAATAAGGGGTCCTATGTTAAAATGGAACGTGACCTGTTAAAATGTTTAAAAAGTTAAAATGTTGTTATAAGTTTGATTGAAATAGATTTTGATATATACTGCAAACACAAATTACAATTTTCAGTTCTTTACAACCTATAAAGTGTTTTGAAACTTACAGTGTGTAATAATTTGGAACATTGCATTGTAAGTTTTTTGGGGTTTTTTAAATTCTTTATTTTTATTTTTAGTGCATAGGTTAAACAATAGTTTTTGCACTGCCACAACAGCTGGTGCTCACGAAACAACCGGTATCATATAACATTGGTGTGGAGCTTTCTCTGGTTTCTAGGAATCATACCCATTACCTGGCTCGTCATGCCCTCAGGGTAAGTTGCCCCATGGACCTCGCATCTCTACAGGGCTCGAGAAGAGTGAGTGGTAGGCTTTGGTCAGTGTAGGGAGTGGGAGTATACCCCAGCCAGATCTGTCGGTTTACGTGTAGGGGGCGCCCTTTTGCCAGTGTGACTTGGTAATGGCCGTGCCGTACCTCTTTGCCTTCTGCAGAGGAGTTGGCGCTAAGGATAAGTCGATGTGTTGGTACTTGTGTGTGCTAGGCAATTCTGAGTGGGCAAGTAAGTGGTCCCGATGGTGATGTTGTGGTGTTGGTTGCGTTATGGATTTCTCATGCCCCGGTACCCTGGGTTCCCATAGTGGTAGAAGCGTCAACTGGGTTAACAGGGACAGTGTGTCTCGCGGGTCTGAGGTGAGTGATTGGGGCCTGGGATTTGCCCATACCTGAAGGTTTAATGTTCTGCTAGGGTGTAGCGGGGGGTCTGCTCAGTTGTAATTGTATGCCTGTATCTGCCCGTTACCTAGGAATGCTTAGGATGGGGTGTCCCCTATCAGGAGCCGGTGCGCGGGGCTTAGTTTCATGCCGGACAGGTGGTGTCTAAGTCTTGGAGAATCTGGGAGGCTGTGTCGCTGAGATTAGGAGTAAGAGTTATCAAAGGGATCTACCAGCCTGTCCCCGAGATAGTTGAAGGAGGGTAATGTGTTACTGTGGGATCCCCTACAGATTTATGGTGTAGTTGGCGCTCAATATCCCCTGAGCACCAGTGGAGGAGGGGTTGGGGGGTGGATGCCTACAGTTACAGCTGTGGGGTGAGCATTGAGGTCTCATCCAAATGGTATTTTGCCCAATAAAATTAGCTTAATACATTAACTCAGGTGCAAATGTCCACCAGAGGAGGTATTTGAGTCCAGCAACTCTACAGCCCAGTGGCTTGACCCTGACTGGGGTTGTCCTTGTGGCTCCAGCCAGTGTCAGCCGCGTGGGGGATAAAGGGGGTTATGTTAGGTACGTCCCAGGAGTGTCCAGGAGTGGGTGTAGCAGAGGCTGGTGCTTCCAGGCTGAGTTTGCCATGGAAGGAACCAGAATCTTCTGGTGACAGCAGGCGGAATGTGGTCGTTCCCTTCGTTAATGTAAGCATAGATGGTCCCCATCGGTATTTAACTCCTGCTGTTCTGAGGGTCGCGGTGACCTGCCGGACTGATCGTCTCCAGGGCAGGGTGGCTCTACATAGGTCCTGCAGGTCCTGAGCTGCATGCCCTCCAATTGAAGATCATTTCATCTCCCCTGCCAGCCCATGCAGATCAAGCCTTGGTGAGGAAATCAAAGCATTTAGTTAAAGCAGAGGGAGGGAGGGGCCTGGCATGCTCTATCCTCGTGCGAGCAGGCTGGTCAGAACGTTGCCACGTGTTACCATGGCAACACTCCAGTACAGCGCTATGCTCTCAGGTGGACAGGAGAGTCAGTCTGCAGACAGAGGAGCTGCACGCTAAAGTGAACATTCCACCACTGGACCACCAGGGCTTGCAGCATTATGCCCCCCCTCCCTGGTAAAAGGTAAGAAGAAGGGAGGTGAAGACATTAAGATAGTTTTCACATCTCACCCACCTACACACAGCATAGACCCTATGCACCCTTCACATACAAACTTACACTGCTCCCACACAGACTTCCCCTTCACACACACTACAACCCTCCCACACACACACTGCCTCCTCACACACTTCCCCTTCAAACACACTACACCCCTCACAAACACACACATTGCCCTCCTCACACACTGCCTTCCTCATACACACACACACACACTGCCTGCTCGCACACACCGCCCCCTCGCACACTGCACCCCTCACACACAAAGCACCTCTAAGACACACACTGTACCCACACACAAAGCCCTCTCACACACTCCACCTCACACACACATACACTACATCCTTCACACACAAACACACACTACACCCTTCACACACAAACATACACACACACAGCACCTCACAGACAAACATAGAAAAAAAGGGAAAAAATGAAAAAATAGATACATTTAAGTACATTTAAAAAAAAAAAAAACTAAAAACAAACCTCCTAAAAATATATATATATATTAAATCGCACTTGCGCTATAAAATGAGTTACTGTGGCACCTGTGGGCAGTAAGGAAATTTTACCATCAACAAAGATACAAAAGTGGGCAGTAGTTATTAAAAAATACATGAAGACTAATTTTCAAACAGTTCTGTTCACTGATGCCGTGCAATCCTGGGTGGTCCAGATGGATGGAGTAATGGATGGTTGGTGGACGGCCACCCTGTTCCAACAAGGCTGCGACGTCAGCAAGGCGGTGGTGGAGTCATGGTCTAGGCCATCCAGCTGGGCTTGCAATGTGTGGTGGGAGATCTGGAGGAGTCGGAGCTTCTCCTCTGTTGCTTGATGGCGCTGTGCCATGGAGGTAACGTCTTCCTCAGTGGCCCGTACCCTATCTGTGACAGCGGTCATCTCTTCATTCAGTACCACTATATCTGTGCGGAACAAGGTGCGTAGGTTCTGTGTGATGTTCAATATATCCCCTTTGGTTGCCAGAGCTCTCAAGTCTCCGACTGGCAGGGTCAGGAGCGGATCAGCAGCATTTGGTATAGGGTCAGGCGCATCCATCTCTTCCTCCTCCGAGGACGAGCTCTGGGGATCTGGGGTCGCTGCCATTTTAGGTTTAGGCCTTGATAGGAATAGGTCGCCGATTTTCCGGGACCCGTCCTCTGGGTGAGTCTTAAGCTTCTTACTTTTCCCCATGATGTCACCCAGTGTGGAGGCCAAACTGTAGTTGGTTTGTCGTCGATTAAGTCTGTGTGTCTGCATATATTGCCGTTATATCTCGGGAGCACCGCGGACATGTGACTGCTCTCAGTGAGGTCCAGATCACGCCCGCAATGTAAGTTTTTTATGTTTAAAAAAAATAGTTATCATTAGGTTTGTTCAAAAAATGTTAATTGTACTCTTAGTTGATAACATGAGAATTTGCTGACTGTTATTTACATCAATTATTTAGGTAAATGAGAAAAATATAATTTGCATAATAATTTGGAACAGGGTGTAGAATGGGAGGGCTTGCAATGGTTGCAGACAAGAGATCTTGTCAATAAAAAAATAAATAATTAAATAGATGCACATTTTCATTTAGTGATTTTTTTTTTAGTTTAGTTTAGTGCTTCCCTTTAACTTATATGTTTCCATTTCAAAATGTTACACAAATAGTTTATAGTACATGTAATTTCTTCTCTTTCTAAAAATAAAAATAACTGTTTTCCTTTTATATAATACATAACTCTACTATCGATACAACTTGAAATATGGCTCAATAAATCTAAAAACCTGCACTTATATACTTCTAGAGATGACATAAGTTACTATAAACCAGTGGTTCCCAAACTGTGTGCCGCGGCGCCCTGGGGAGAGGGCACCTTGAACCTAAAAAGTTTGGGAACCACTGCTATAAACCCTTCTAATATTTTTCTGTTCTTAAAATGCCTCTTCCTTCTGCCAGTAAAACTACTAGCTCAGTAGCTAATAGTAATACATCTTGTTAGAATATTGCACACAACACTGGCCAGCTCAGAGTAATTATAATTTAAGCCCTGATGTCAGCGAGAGCAAGGGATAATACAAAAGACAGATCTCAGAACATCAAGCCACTGATGGCAGCGAGGAAGACAAAGCACATATATGTCAACATTCAGTAGTATCATGTGTCTGATGAGAACGAAGTCCAGAAAAGAATACCAAAATGAATGAAGATTTGAAAAAAATATACATGACATCAAAGCTTAAATAGAATTTTAGTTTTAAATATTTTACCCACACTGTGTGGGTTTTGAGTTTGTTCTTTGTACTTTGATTTCAAGGTTTCATATTTGGATCTATCTGGGAATAAAGGTGACCTCATGGAAGTGAAATTTCCTTAATTATGATTGTAAGAATATATTTGTGGGTATTTATACATCACAGTGTGTGTTTTCTTTTTTCTTGTTTTACCAGTTTAGCGTATTCATATAACACGAATTAGATTCTGCACATAATATATTTAAAAAAGCAAATATTGGAACCTTTGATCTGCATATTACTATTGTGACAGCTTGGTGTTCCCTCAAAATGCTTGCCAACATGGTTTTGAGCAAGGTAAATAAATGTGTAAAGACATTAAATCTCATTATGATAATAACAGATTTCTACCGCAATTCACCGTTGACTTGCACTCCAGTTATAGCGTGTGGTGCATTGTGTTACCTCAAACCGCATTTGTAAATAATTGACCATTATTGTGGATCTGTAGCAATTTACTTTTACAGGATCTTCTGTTTTGCTACTCTGAAGAGATATGGCCACCTGGATTGGAAAGTCTTAAGGATTAGCTAAATGCGGCATGTAAGGAAGTGGTGGAAATCAAGACAGTCAATTTATCTTTTACTTGAAAGCCAAGGGTCATCACTTGAACAAGCACTTACCAATATATTCTTAAACTGTATATTTTGATTATCTTGTCAGCATCTAGCCTACTATCCTTTGGTGGCTGTCATGGCACTGCCATGTACTCACCCGCTCCTGGGCGCCTCTGGCGTCCTCTCGGCAGAGTCGCGGTACTTACCGCTCCCAGAGACCCCTCTCCTGGGTCTGCGGCAGTTTCTTCTCTCCCTCCGAGGTCTGCAGCGAGCACACCATCGCGGCAAGATGGCGGCCGCCACGCGGATCCGCCGTTCTGCACAGGGAGGAGGTGGAGAGCTGCAGATCTGTTAGGAAAGGGCAGGTCAGGGACTTGGTGCAAACCAAGATGGCGCTGAGTCCCTGACCTCTCTTTATAGCTCCTGCGAGCCCCACCTACTGGTGGGAGGTGCCGGTCATGTGATCCTGGCTCCCTATTTAAACCAGTTACACATTCCAATCAGTGCTTGGTTATTTTTCTTGCCTTTTTATACCTGCCTTTTGCCCTTATTTACAGCTCATGTCCCTGGTTCCTGACCCTTGATCCCCTGATTGATGCTCCTTGCCTGCTGCCTGACTTGACTCCGGATTGATTGACTTCTCTTGTCTGCTGCCTGACTTCGGATTTATTGACTGCGCTTCCTGCTTCGTCTCTTCTTGGATTCCTTGTCTGGCTTCTTCCTATTAAAGACCTCCGTGCCACCACAGACCCTTCGGGACCCTGTCCCCACTTCCAGGTGCTCCTGAGGGTTGTGATTGTAAGGGAGTGCTGTTCCGCTGCAATTGGGTTCCGTCACCTCTACAAAAACCCCAGGTGGGTGTGACAGTGGCCCTGGTTGCCGGTAAAATAAATCATCAGCACTATCAGGGAGTATGGATGAGCAATTAGAGGTTATATATACTGGATTCATGACACCTGCATACAGTAAATTTGGGATTAATAAAAATAGAAATTATTCCCTTACATTTGAGCAACCACCACAAAGGAGATAAAATTTAAAGACCATCATGCTTAAAACACTGACAGTGTGCCTGTATGTATTGCACATTTGGCCAATTTCTGGAGTTACAGAGCCTTCTTTGAGTATCTAAAATATTGCCCACAATATTGCCCTACTGGTTCTGTTTTGCCCTCTTCTTGGGAAGCAATGTTCATTTAATGCTACTTTTTAATAAGAGCTGAAAGAAAAATACACTTTTACTAATATATCGGAATTTGAACTCATACCCTTGGCCAGGGGTTAAATTATAATATTGTACACTGCAATCAATGTTTAACTAGCAATTAGTATTTCATATGCAACCCTCATATCTTATATAATTTATATGTAGCTATTTTTGTAATAGTACATCCGCCTTGGCTCTTAAATCCCACACGTACCAATGAACTTTGAATTAAATTAAACATAAAAATTAATCTATATATATGCTGGCAAAACTGCTAGACTATGTACAGATTTTAATTAAAAATAGCATATAAATTTGTTGCCTTTCATACCTTCTAATCAGTGCTTGGCATGGAGCACCATTGGCTTTGAGATTTTTGCTGGCAGTTAAGTAAGGGGAGAACAGGAGAATGAGTCTCATATACGGCGTGGGACTATTGTAGTAAAATGCCTCAACTTTGTGAATTTTGCCATCATGGAGGAGGGATTACCTAGCTGAGAAGTGTTCGTAATCAGAATCAATTCTACCAAAGAGAGCACAAAGCCAAAATAGGATCAAGGGGAGGGTGTCATAGACCTCCAATAATAATGTCACTGTCATGCTAACCAGTTTTCAGGATTTGGGAAGTATCCTCAGCAAGATATAAGTCATCAACCAAACACGTATAAAGGAAGAATGATAAAATTGTATATAATCAAACCTTAGAGTGGCCAGGCTTAACACTCAGATAGAAATAGGAAATATCAGAGCTAGTACTGACAACAGCATTGGGCCACAGAGCAAGACTAAATTTGAAGTCAGGAAAATGGCAAATCAGGGAAACCAGAATCAGGAACAGCAAGCAAAAACTCAGAAAAGTAGCCAAGTCAGACAAACCAGAATGCTCAACTAGGAATCAGGGAGAAGCCAGTTCATGACAAGAACGACATTTATTTCAAAGAGCTCACTAACAAGGAAAAGGAGGAGACATGAGTTTAAATAGGTCCAGATCATTGTGTCACCAATTGCATCACTTTGCACATATTTTGCGTTGAGAGAGACGCCAACTAAAATACACAAAAATGCGCAACAGTTGCTGCTTGCATGGTTTTAGGACAGATTGAAGTCAGAATGAGGCGAGTGAAAATGAGTAGCCGACGCTGCTCTTGGTTATGAGAGCATGGAAAAACAGACTTAAGCATCAGAGTTAATAAGTGGTCTGACACCAGTTAACACCTCCTAAACCAAATACATATATTAAATAGGCACCTTTATTATAAATGTCTTTCATTTTCAAGCTCTTATCCATTTATATGAAACTGCCATGACAGGATCACTTTGACATTATGTGTAGTGTGCAACAAAACTTATGCTTTCAAGTAAGTGCTTAGAAATTAGTGGGAACAATCAGAGTGGGATGATAGAGGGGTCCAAATCTCAACTATACGAGGTACACCCAGAGAATTGTAGAGGTCTAAGCAGCACGTCAGCAGAATAGTGTTTTACGATGCATAGTGATGCTTGGCAGAGAAGTGCTGAGAATGGTTATGTGAAAGGTATGGGTAGTATTTTTTATTTTATTTTTTTATTTTACATTGCAAAGCAGTTCAAATGAAACCAACCCGGTCAGGCCACTATGTTTACTTTTTCAACAGTCCTGGAAAGAAACACAAACACTTCATGTTATGTAGACAAAGTCGTAGCACATTGACAAGAAAATGGAGCCATGTTACTTGCTGTTATTATAGAATATGCAATAATTCATTGCTCCAGCCTTATCAGCACCTCAATGTGAATCAGGCTGACCACTGCACAAAGTGACCCTGTTTTTTATTTGATTTGCAATCCTTAATTTCTTGCTTGTTTTTACAACATTTAGTAAAATCTGTGGATTGTTATAATTAATAGTTTAACCATTTCCTGTTGCTTTACAGTTTTTTGGTTTTTTTTTTGCAATTCATTCAATTTTATTGAGAAAAATCAAGCCATACACATTTATTGCACTCGCATATGGTAATGCAAACTGTTGAGTGCTATCAAACAAACAGTAGGAGGTTATTAGACGAGAGGGGAGAACAGTGAGCCGAGGGGAGTTGGAGAATAAGAACAGGAAAGAGAGAGAAAAAGGGCCTAATATAAACAGAAAGAGCAGTATTGTTCAGTCTGTGCCC